GCAACTAAAAACAAAATACCCCCCCCCCCCCCCCCAGTTAATTTTTATAGCTAGAGTTAAAAATTGTGGAGGGTACTTTTGTAAACACCCAATTTTTAAAATAGAGAATATGGAGGGCATTTTTGTAAACAACTATTTTTCTTAAAAATTATGTAATGCATTATAATTTTAATACACCACACCAAACAGTAGATAAGAAATAATATCTGCATAACTAATACTTGCATTACTAACACATGCATTACTAATACATCTTATTCCGCACTATTCTTACACACCCTACCAAACGACCCCTAATGATTTGTGGTAAGCAAAAATTTTCAAGAAAGACTAGTCAACTTGTACACGTTTTAGAGCTTAATATAAGTAATTAATGTGTTATTACCGGATCTTAATATGAGTACTTCATTGGGTACATGTTTGTGACCATCTCACAAGAGCACAACAACAACGATCCAGTAAAATCTTACAAAATGGGGTCCGAGGAGGGTAGTGTGTACGCAGACCTTACCCCTATCCCCATGGGGCAGAGAGGCTGTTTCCGATAGACCCTTGGCTCAGGAAGACAAAAAGAAAACAAGAATAGACAATATATCAGTACCATCGATAGAAATCATAGAAATAGTAACAACATCATAAAAACCATAAAATAGATGACATGCAATAACAATAACCTCCGGAACTATGATAAAACAAAAAGGAATCTCACAAAAGCACACTTTTAATTAATAATATATATATATAGAGAGAGAGTAAACGGAGAAACTCGAACTAAGAAAGAATTATCCTACATTTGTATTTAAAGCTACTAATGAACTCGTAGCCAACACTCTAGCTCCGCCCTTAAGAATATGCACGAGCATTAAATAAAATGAACCACATGAATCATAAAACTGAAAAAACAAGTTTGTAGAAGACCACCAAATCAATTGACCAAAGTAGCAGACTCGAGATCAGAAACACGTGCAGAAATTGTGTTCAAAGACAACAGAACCAAATATAGTTACTAATATGTGATCTGGGATGATTAGATGAGGTTTCCGTGTATGTGTCTTCGGGAGCATCTTCTCCCGTGGGATCATAGCCAGTTTTTCACTGCGAGTGGTTATCTAAAGTAAAGGTGCTAAGGTACCCCGCTCATAAGTCATTTCCGCTGCATGGTCAACTCTTGCCGGGTTAATGTATTTGAATTAATCATATATTCATTCTTACGCGTTGAGATGCCTATTTATAATGGTTTGTCCTGCATCATTAGTAGCTTGAAGCTATAGTTTAAGAGAAATGACAAGATCGTCAAAAAAGGGAGGCACTCAAGAGGGTAAAGGGGGAAAGGATGGGTGGCCCCCTACAAGTTCTTGAAGTCGAATGGAACAAAAGCGCATATAGGAAACGTAACTCAGACCTATGGTACTTCCTAGGACTCTCTAGGGTCCTCTAAAATGCCACCACTCCTTTGTGCTTCCATGGACTGACGTGTTCTTGGCAATGAAAATAAAGTTTGTAAAAATGACGGGTAAATAAGGTGGGGTTTAGGTAATAAAGTTTGTAATAAAGGTTGGGGTTGAATTACAAACTATAAAAGATTAAGGCAAATTGTACAAAAATAAAAAAGGTTTCCAACAGTCACATTTTTTCTAATAGACGTGCTTTAATTTCCCACAATTACTATTTTATTTTACGTTTCCCCAAATATTTTTATAAGTTTTGGTTATGAAATATTATTTTGTAGTGGATGTCTATAACTCCTAAAGAAGTTACTCCCACTACTCTTCTCCATTATGTAGATAGCTCTCACTACTTCTCACTATTATAGTTGTAACTCCCACACCTCCATGACCTCCCCATGATCTTCCTCCATGATCTCAAATGTTTAATGTCATGTTTATGGCATTCTTTTGTATGCCTCTATGTAATCCTATAAATAGAGGGTTTTGGCATCACATTGTATACACTTGAATACATAGAAGAAATAAGATTCTCTCCTCTCTTCCTCTCTACATTGTTGTCTATTTTATTGTTCTATATTGTTACTTTGAGCTAAGTTTCGTAACAGTTTTTCAATTATAAAGCTGTGATTTATAGTACTTATATATAGCTTTTATAAGCATAAATTTTATTTCAAAAGTTAAGAAATTGAGGTACAAATTTATATCTAAACTTAAATACGTTTGACTCCATAATATACTTTATTATTGTATTCTCTTTTTATGAGTATATTTCATCTGTCTAAGCCTTGACCGCTAGATATTACCGGTATTTGGAAACAATAAAAGAGAGTAACTTTACATATATGCAACTTAAAACAAAGTCTAAGAATATTTATATTCTTTGGTTACTCCAATACTGTTTCCAATTCAAGATTCTTAGAGAAGTAATTAATAAGCTTTTCTTTGTAACAATTCTTTGCTTTCTGACAAAACAAATGCTTTTCTCTAAATGAAGTAAACAAATGAATTCTCCTATCTGTGAAATTCATAAGAAGATATAAAATTTTATTTTTAGACACATTGATTATAACACCTACCAATCATCATATTCCTTTATTTTATGGTTTGTCATCATCAAGATATTTGGACTATTTCTCTTTAATATCATTGCTGCATTCATCTGGTAAACTAATTTCAATCTTCTCAACCTTTAATTTCATATATTTGTTTCTCTTTTTCTTTCTTTTTAACCTTAGGGGCAGTGGAGGATTTAGATTAGATGTACCGTAATCGACAGAATTCACTATATCTAGTTCAAACTATATATGTGTGTTGACCGTCTAAAAATCCGGGACAGATATAAAAAGCACAACACACTCTGACTCTAAATCTTGAATTAGTCGATGCTTAAAGCGGTTGCTAGGGGTGGGTGGTACACATTTGAGGTTTTTGAAAGTTTTTTTTTTTTTTTTCCTGCAGGGTTTGGTTAATTCAATTATAAAGATTAATGAAATAAGAGGGAACCAATTCTACTAATGTCTCAAGGAAAGATGAAAGAAGAAGATATATCCTATACAAATATCAAAACCAAAGATCATGTGTTACTCGATATCGTGCAAGAAGAAGAAGATCTTGTAGAATCAATTGGCGAAAAGATGAAAAATATCTCAAGTTTTCATCGTATCAACAGAGTTCCTCAAGAAGTAAAAAAGGGAAGTGAAAATAGTTACTCTCCTAAATTAGTCTCGATAGGTCCTTTTCACCATGGAGTTGACACACTTAAAAACATGGAGGAACAAAAGTGGTGTTATCTCAACACGCTCGTTAGTCGAAAACCAATAAACACACAACCCATTTTAGAGAATTGTGTGAAAGCACTTAGAAATTTAGAAGAGAAAGCAAGAAAATGCTATGGAGAAGATACAATTGATCAAATTGGAAGCAATGAATTTGTCCAAATGATGTTACTTGATTGTGGCTTTATCATTGAGGTTTTTATCAAGCTTGCTTTAAAGGGTTATCGACGTAGAGATGATATGTTTTTTAGCAATTACGAGATGTTTTTTCGTTTAAGATGTGACTTAATTCTACTCGAAAATCAAATCCCTTTTTTTGTTCTACACCAAATATTTCACTTAGTTCCAATTCCTAAAGAATGTAATTATTCCCTTATTCAACTTTCTTTACTCTTCTTTAGGAAATTAATTCCAGGTGAAGGACTCATTACTATAGAGAAATTTGGCCCTGAAGTTCACCATTTATTGGACTTAGTTCGCCAATGTTATCTCCCAACAATTCCTCAAATTCAACCAAATGGGGTACAAAAACATTTGCACAATGTACTACATCTTCATGCTGTAGGGATCAAGTTCAAGAAGGCAGTAAGTGAAAGTGTTATGAATGTAAGATTTACCAAAGACAAAGTATTGGAAATTCCAACTTTGAAAATACACAACTACTCTGAGATTTTATTCAGAAATCTAATGGCACTGGAGCATTTTGGTTCAACAAGTATGCGAGTGAGATATCCAGCGTCTGATGTTCGTACAACAGTATCCACAACTACTTTACGGGCTCACAGTAACATTGGTTCGAAACACGTTATGTCTTACGTTTACCTCATGAAATCTCTTGTAAGGTCTGCAAAAGATGCAAGCCATTTAATACAGAGGGAGATTTTGGACAGCAGTTTATATAATGATGAAGAGATTTTTCAACTGTTCCATAAGCTTCATGTTGAGTTTGATGTCAAGGATTTCTATTATAGTGGACTTTGTGAGAAAGTTAATGGATACAAGAAGAAAACAATGTGGAAAGTATGTTGCCAGAAACTCAGCAATGTATATAAAAAGACTTCCTAAGGAATAGCAGGCTTGACTGTTTTCTCAGTAGTTTCTATTTTTACTGCAATTTTATTTTCTTTACTAGCATTTTTACTGCACCACTTTTGAGAAATTTTAGTTTTCATTCTCCTTTCATCAGTTTCGTTTTGATATACACCATTATATGCAGATTCCAAATTATCCCATTAAAGGAGTGCTTCTTACCTAGATTTTCTTCATTCCACAAGGCTCGAACCCGAGACTTCTGGTTAAGGGTGCAGGGATCTTATCCATTCCATCCCACCACAACCTCAAATCCGAGACTTCTGGTTAAGGATGAAGGGATCCTATCCATCCCACCACAACCTCAAACCCGAGACTTCTGGTTAATGATGGAGGGATCCTATCCATCCCACCAGTGATTCATGAAAAAGTTGATGCAGATTGCAGCCAGACACTACAGCTCCTGAGATACAGAACTGTAAGATTCCATTTAGTGACTCGGAATAATCATCAAACTTTTGCAGTGAAGTAGGTGGCAGATTAGAAATGAGTATAGATTCTGTATTACCTTGTTTCTATTATAAAAATGAATTAGCTTAATAGCCCATCAATCTCCTCTAAACTAAAGACAAGTACATCCCTGTTATTATTATTACTTGAAAACAGCCATAAATATTCTTAATACGCGTTTCGAACAGAAAGAAGCAAGCTAATGTGTAACTAAATTTCTTTACTTCATCTTAACTTCTTCACATGATCCTTCACATCTGAGAAAAAGGACCCTCTTTTATCTATACAAGAACTCTGTCAAAATAACATATGGTAATTTCATGTTTACACGATCTATATAGTTGATGTCACAACAGCAAAGGGATAAATATACTACATATTTTCTGGATAAGCTGGCCCAAGTGGAGTAAATTGCCAAACATATTCCCAGTTGAACTCCATATTTACTGCTGGTAGATTTAGGATTCATCCATGAAGACAGCACCGTGGCCATTAGCTTTCATGAATTTCTTTAACAGAAGTACAAGTATAGCAATTGTAAGTCCAACTGCTGCCCATGTAAATATACGATCATCAGCCTGCCTCGAAACGCTCTGTTGAGGTGTATGCAGTACCCGAGGCTCACTTGGCCGTGCAGCAGGGAGCTCTATAGGTGCCTGTACAGGTTCTGCATCTAAAGCCAATTCGCGTCTCTCTTCAATATTTGTGTTAGCATCAGATGGATTATGAAGCCTTTCCTCAGCAGTCTCGGCGCTGGGGTTTTCAGGACTCTCTTGGACCTCATCCTCTCCATTAATGTTCTGTATTTCAGGAGCTGGCAAGGAAGTAGCTTGAGGAACTGGGGGTGCTTTGCTTAGCATGTATTCATGAATCTGTAAAACAAACCAACTATTTAACGCTTGAGCCTGCAGACGATGGATTGGATATCAAAGTGATATTCATATAATGTTATACCTCGTCAATCAGCTTCTGGCGCTCGGGAGTTCCATATCTTGGAGCCGTTTCACGAGATTTAATAGCTAAAGCACGCCTTTCTTCCTTTGTATAGTCTAGTGATCCAAGGGCACCATTTGGGTTGGTGGGCATAAATGCAATCAGAGCTACCAGCGCAGTCCGAACTGCAAATCATAAGATATTTAAACGCTAATTAGCTACCGTAGCTCCGTCTGACCAAAAGATGGAAAGCAGCATCCATTAAGACAAAAGACTAAACCACACAATAGCTTGCGCACTGCAAACTGCTTTTTTCTTGTCAATACAACTAAAGAATAATAATTGCAGGCCAATAATGTATTGTATATAGTCGCCAATCCATATGGGTTGCTCACACTCTCCTATTTGATTGAGATTTTTGCATACTGTGGGTGTTTGCATTTTAGCTTTGCTCAAGTACAGGACGCCAACGGCAATCATATAAGTTATACCACATATTCAATCATATCTTCTGACTTTTAAATCCATCAACACAGCCTCAAGCCAATTTTAAGTTCACTCAACTAAATACAGCCATAGGTTAAAAGCACAGGACCATATAATTTCAAGAAGGGAAAATGCCAACTCATACAGATGAAGATACATTTTTATGTCCTAACATGACATTGCCTAAATTTGCATCCCCCCCCCCCCCCAAAAAAAAAAAAGAAAAAGAAAACACTGATGCAACAATATGAAAGTGAATTATTCATTAAAATATAACATAGTGCAAAAATGGTAGAGAGAATGATGAAGTTACCACTCCATGACGGTTGCCAGTGCTCAGGGTGATGATTCGAAATGCTCAAACATATCTTGGTTTGGGTTTCAAAACGTCCATTGGGCTGAAAAGAGAATCAACCATGAGTTAGCAGAGTATTAAACATGAAATGCATCGACTCTAAACCCAGATGGTAATGGAATGGGATAGGGTTTTGCTTCTCCTGTTAGTAGCCTATCCCAACCCACAAGACAGGCTCCCTTTTCCCTGCACAACTCATGTGACCACCCACTGCTCCCAACAATGCCATATCTTCTCTTTCAGTTTGTTCGTGCTTTTCCCTTTGGTTTGCTTTTTCCAATCTTTTTCGCTACCCTCCCGAGAAAAACTAGGTAGTGGGGGGGAAACTTGGGTCACACTTCAAAAACATATTCCAGATTTGCACATGGAGCAAAGCAAAGACTTCCTGAAGTACTCATTTTATTTTATGAAGTAAGAGACTTTCATTAAAGGCATCAAGAAGATGCAAAACAAAAGAGAGTACAAGTAATCGACTTTCCTTCAGTACTCTTCAGTCAGATCTTATCCTATGGTAAGACTTTCCAAAGATTTGCTTACTTTCCACTTGAATTACAAACCTCCTTAGCCTCTTTTTCCCAAGATACCTGCTATTTATCCTTTTTTTTCACATCAAAATTAATTAGCACCCTGCCCAGCCCAATCTGTGAAGCCCGCTTGTGGCAGGTGAGGTTAGACCAACATCACTAGCCCCATTCTGATCTCTACTAAAACTTATACCATAAAATGACTTGAGTAGTAAGACTAGCTTTTAAAACAGCAAGAAACTTACAGTCAAAAGCATGAAAGAAGGAGGCTTGAAAGGATATTCGGCAGGCAACTGGATCCGTCCATGATAAATCCCCCCTTCAAACTCAGAATCTCGTGGACCCCTGATTGCGAATTGCCATTCAAAGATGTTCTCCTGAGAATGTAACATAAAAGTCAGCTTAAGTTGTTGTGTCATCGTACAACTTCCAGATTAAAAAATAACTTGTTAATAGAAGATAACTAGTCATTTGTCGTAAGAATGTGATGCAAGATAGGATATTTCTGAAAGCAATACCTACAGAAGCTATTATGATTAGATCCATTTACTAGTGATGGATTCAAGAATCCAAAATACACACTGTCACCTCATAAGGGAAGGAAAATGCCCAAAATCAAATCCTGACCTATTTATATCATAACAACAGAATGGCATCAAACTGAGCTAGAAGAGCACGGAGCTCATTCATCGTTAGTGAGGTTGATTCTTAAGCAGGATCAACCATAATCCTTAACATATTTGAATTTAGAACACAAAAACCACTATGCCAAATCGTATCGAAGCTTAAGAGTTTTATATCATGGGCATAGGACCACTATTACTTTTAAATAGTACAAATCACGTGTTGCTGCCTTGTTCAATTTGTAATTTAGTTTATTTCAGCAGTCGACAAAGAAGGATTTGTCAAAGCAGTTTCAAATTTTAAGACTTGTACATCCACGTAGGAATAAAAGTGAGATTTAGAGAACCTCTAGCTTTAAAGAATCTCTAATTTGCCCTAATTGACAAATTATACTATAAGAATGAAATAGGCCTGAATAAAGTAAAATGAATACAAAGGATGGTTAATAGGTGATTGGCAAAGTTACCTAGTACCTAGGTACCTATGTTGGTGGGAAGTAGCAGGTACCCGGTGGAATAGTCGCGCAAACTGGTCAGGACACCACCATCATAAAAGAAAAGAAACTGTAGTAGGTACAACAGGCATTAAATCAATCTAGCTATGTCCAATCCTCTAAATACTGCTTGACATAGAGACCTCATATATTCGAACTTAACTAGTCTGGAATTGAGTCGGTAGTTCACACAATCCTTGAAGTAAATGCAAAAGCGTGATAAAGTTTATCCAACAGGATAAACTTGACCAACTAGAAGATAGACAATTTGCACACAGCTGAACTACAGGAAAATAACAAATAACATATGCAAAACAGCACTGTAAAACCAAATTGGTACGTTGTATAAAATGAATCCAGAAGAAACTATGGAACACGAAGCATCACTAACTCAGCCAAAGGCCTAAATGGATAAAAAAGAAATCAAAATAATCAGATCAACATGAACAACCAAGAAATTCAAGCAGAAACAGCTATGAAAAGGAACATTATCCATAAAATCAGAATGCAATGAAGTTGAATCAACGAAACCCCTTCCTTGCCAATTCGGAAAACCATCAAACCTCACTTCCACAGTAAAAAAACAAACCGTATACAAACACATATAACCCCCCCCCCCTCCCGACACACCCTACACACATCTACATGTGCACAAACAGACAAATTTTCCTATTTATTTGATCGTTATTGCTTGTGGCCAGTAATTTGACCAACTTTCAGATGGATCCAGCAAATTACCTACACCTCCACTCGAATATATCTACAGTTTTTGCTCATGGCCAGTAAGTTCTACTATATTTCTAAGCTAAATCAGACTATATAAATTCTCAATTTCTAAAATTACCGATCGAGATTAGGAAATTTCGCACAACAATTTCAATTCACCTAATAAGTTAAAATTTTTAATCAAATATCAATTGATTTGAATCTCAGAAAGCAAACAATGTACGAAATTTAAATTATAGATCCGCCACATGTCCAAAGAGAAAAAACAGATGAATCATGAAAGGGTAGGGTAAATTTTCGTAAATATTTGGAAAATCAAGGATTAAAATGAAACCTCGAGAGGAAGGCTCATGAAATCATCGGAAGGATTAGATTGCATCTCTTTAACCTCCTGTAGTATTCTCTTCACCGCTGGATTTTTCAGATTATACTTATCCTCCGCCATCTCTATCGATCTGAGCCGCCACCGACCACCGTACGTCGGAATATTAAACCTACCGCCGGTCGAAAAGTTCCACCGATGATAATGATGAAAATTGGTGGGAATAAATAAGCGAAGACTTTGTTTTTGGGAAAAAGTGGAAGCGAGGGGGTTGGATTTTAAGATGAGGGAGGAGGACACGTCAATCATGATGACGTGGCAGTAAATTATTGGGTACAATGACAAACTCTTAATGGCTGTTTTCGTAAAGAGTGATTGTGAAGATTTAGGAAATTTATTTAGGCTAATCCTAAGGGGAGTGATAATGATTTGTTGAGAAAAAGGAGTACTAGTTAAAACTTTGCGATTCGAACTCTTCCATGTTTTTTTAGTAACTATCAAAATGATCTATACTTCTTCGCAACTCGTATAAACGCAAGGCATTTCCCACAAGTAAAATCTCAACAAAATAGTGTAAGCAAATCTTATCTTTACCTTTATATACGGTCGAAACCGGGCTCGTTCACTGCATGACAGGTCGGGACTGAAACATGATGGGTTGAAGCTTGACCCCAGATTATATCGAACCAAGGTACGAAGTTAGATCATCGAGCCCGTGACTCCGGAACCGACCTCGACTCCGAACAAAATCGAGGAAACTTTATCGGACCAAATAACGGAAGGCCAAAATATCCGCAATCGGTCGGATATCACGGTGGAAATCTCGGCACGTATCAAGGAGAGCCGATTAGTTAGCAAATTATGAGGTTTTCTACCTTTTAAAGAATTGTATCTAGAGTAGGACTACCCTACTATATAAAAGGGAGTCTGATCATTTGTAAGGGACATTGTAACACAAATCCAAAGGCAATACATTATTATTTCTAGTTCTTATTATCTTGCTATTCTTTTCTGACATCAATTGAGGCAATTTCTAGCTCGAGGGTGACCAACCTTCAAGGCTAACACTATTCAACTTGTGTGGTTTGCATTCATTTTTCTGTCATTGATTTCAATATTAATATGTTTCTCAATTTGTGTCAAATTATATCACGTATCCTTAAAACCGCGTATAAATTCAATTGTTATTCGATTTTGAGGGTAAACAGTTTGTCGCCCACCGTGGGGCTAAGGATAATAGTGATTATTTGATGCGAATTTCCATAATACACACTATTTTTCACTTGTTCTCTGAAGTGTTTTTGATTCATGCTTAAGCTCAATGTCAAACTCACAATTAGCACCTCTACCTACTGACGTTGAGTCTAGTCACCACGGTGAAAACAATATCATAGCACCGGGTAACGAGGTACTGCCTGTTGATCCCGTCGAAATTCCAGTTGCGGACCCGTTGGACGCTAATTCGCATGTGGCTATCAATACAAGCCTCCCTACTGACCCCGAGAATAGCATCCGTGGTGGAGCCCGGTTAACGACACAGAATACTCAAAACAGTGAAGGACACAAGGTCAATCTACGAATGATCTTCGAAATGTTGCAGGCTCAACATGAGGCAATAACTCAGTTACAAAACCAGAGCCGCATACCGAGCATGATCGAGCCCGATCCATCTCATAAGATCACTCGCAGGGAGGGACTGGTCGCGGAAAGGTCGAATGGGAGTGAGTCGGGTAATAACCCCGAAATCACAAAGATGCTCGAAGAGCTGACAAAATGAATAGAATCAGGGGAAAAGAAAATTGAAGCAAACGACAAAAAGGTGGAAACCTATAATTCTAAGGTCAACCAGATCCCGGGAGCGCCTCTGATATTGAAAGGCTTGGATTCCAAGAAATTTGTACAGAAACCTTTCCCTCCGAGTGCGGCTCCAAACCCAATCCCTACAAAGTTCCGCATGCCCGAGATTCCTAAGTAAAACGGAACGATAGACCCAAACGAGCATGTCATTTCATACACATGTGTCATCAAAGGAAATGACTTGGAGGATGATGAGATCGAGTTTGTCTTGCTGAAGAAATTCGGAGAAACCCTGTTGATGATAGGCTATAATTACGTATTTTAGTCGCTTATTACACTCTAATTTACTGCACTTTAATTGAGTTTGCGCTTTAATCGCTAGTTTTTTGCACTAACGGTGTGTTTTATGCCTTGTAGGAGTGATTCCGAGATATATAGATGCTATGGAATGAATTCAAGTGATTTGGAGCTTTGAAGTCTGAGTAAAAGCCCAAGGAATTAAGCCGGGATCGTATTCGGGGATCAACGGATGATAAAACAACAAAACGAAGACTCGAGTAGGCATATTGCGTACTGTCTAGTAAAATGCACATAACTTTTTGCTCAAAACTCCATTTGGGCTATATAATATATGGTTAGAAACCTAATTCAAAGGGCTACAACTTTCATGTTTTACATTTTTCCAAATTCCGAACATAACAGGGTGCAAAACGCGGTCGAAACCGCAACCGTGGAACTGACCGCGGCAGAAAATCAGAGAGCTTGTTTGGCCGCGGTCCTACCGCGTTTTGGCCGCGGCCGTGCAGCTCCAGACGTAAAAAAGAAGTCCTATTTCGTTCGGGACAAGGTTATTTCGGCCCTACACTATTCCAACTTGTATAAAAGGGGTCCTAAACCTATTTTAAGGAGAGGGGGACATACTTTTGACATAATTTAGACCTAAGGAGGCTAAGGAGACCGGAGATTCGACCTAAGGAGTCAAGAACACAATAGGAGCAAGGCGCAGAATTCTTCAACGAGTTTTTCCTTCTTCTTCCTATTTTTTCATTGTTGGTTATGATTTTTAGTATTGTAGTTTTACATACTATTATGAATAGCTAATTCGTTTTCTAGGGTTTTGATGGAACCCGTTGGGGATGATTTGGTTGTTATATTAATATAGTTTTGAATTAGTTTAATCTCTATTTGTTAAACTATATTTTGATTGTGGTTAATTGAAAGGATCCTCAATTAGCCGTTCCTATTTATTATCTATCTGCTTGAGAGAGAGTGCATATTTAGGTAGTTGTTTGAACAACATCACTCCCGGAGTATAGGCGAGAGTCATAACCGAGGGTTTAGAGGTTGGATTAGAGATAACGATACATCGGGTGCGATTTAAGTGAACTGTAATGCGAATCTACCTAGCGTAGCTTGAGAGAGTGCGTCTAGTAAATTATCATAATTGCTTGAGAGATTTATGATAGCTGGAGAGTTCATGATTGATAGAGGCAACTAAGTCAACGCTATAAGAAACATAAAACCAAGGAAATCAACAACGGGTGAAACCATTACCTTAGACCCATTCCAATTGTTTACAAATCCAGCATAGTTAGTTTTCAGCTGTTTATTTATTTTCAATCTTGTCTTCTTGGTGATATTAAACAGATACAGCTAAGCCTTAGTTCTCTGTGGGATTCGACTCCGGACTTTTAGACCGGATTATATTTGCAGCGACCGCTTATCCTTTTTAGGACTAGAGTTGGGCGTGATCAAATTTTAGCGCCGTTGCCGGGGACTAACGGTGTAGTTGTAGGTGTACATATTGCTAGGTTTCACGTTTGATTTTTTTTTGTTTTACTTATTAATTCGAGAAACATGACATCTTGGAATTATGGAAATTTAGGTGTAGATAATTCTACTATTGATCTCCATACATATTGTGAAGGAAACCACCCATGGCAAAATTTTCAAAACGTTCCTAAGAGCGAGTTATGTGCACCAACTCAATCTTATTTGTGGAATGTGTGTGATGTGTGTGGTGGTAAAATGGTCACCTTCATGGTTGTGCTTATATTTCTTATTTTCCCCCAACCCCTTACTATGATGGTTCTACCTTTTCTTGTGAAGTTAATAGGAACAAAGAACCTGGGAATGCGGACCTGAGGGAGATCAAGGATATGCTAAAGTGCCTTCTGGAACAAAACAATGAGAAACAATTGCACATAGAAAGGCAAGAGGCAACTATTCACAAGTTGGAGGCTCAATTGAGTCAAGTGGTTGGAGCTTTTAATGCTCAACAAGCCAATATTGAGGATAGTAGCCAAGAAGAGCATGAATTTGAGGTGTTAATTGGGGAGGTCAGAGTGGAACATCAACAACCTAGCCAACTAGAATTTGAGGATGTCAATGTTGAAGAAGTAATACTAGAGTCAACCAAGGACGTTGAAGATACAAATTTAGTTGACTCTAGTGCGATTGGTGTTGAGGAGGTTAAAAATCTTGAAGTTCATGTATTTGAGCGCGTTGGGACTCATTCCAAACACTTCTCTACATTATGTTCAGACGGTGAAATGGAAATTCACCCCTATGAGCATAAAAAGGAGTCCAAGGAAGAGGTAGATGAGCCTATATTTTGGATTTCTCAAGGCCGTCTAGGCAAGGTGACACTCCTCGGTCGAGAGCCAACAAGTGCATAAGATTTTATTTAATTTTTGGCTCGCAAGAATTTGTACCGCCCCAAGAGCATAATCATAAGCTTGAAGCAAAACTTGGGGTTCAATTCATAAGCTCGAGGTGGAGGCAAAAAGTGATTCGCGTCGTGCCGCGACGTTAAATCAAGCGCTTGTTGGGAGGCAACCCAGCTTTATTGCTTTCTTTTATTTATTTTCATTTTTTTTAATTGTATTATTTTTGTAGTGTCAATTTTTT